AAAAAAAATATATATATATATAAATGTCACAAATAAAAAAGTAAACCCACCCAAATGTTTAAGCCCCCCCCTTCCTTTACGCACATATAAACGTAAATACGCGCCCAGTGCACCAGCGCGCAAAATCGACAATTGCGCTACACATGCTACATATCGCCGCGAACGTCGAAGTGAGAGCAATCATTTTAGGGCCATCAATCACTGATAACACTAAACTGATGAGTGGTAAAAGCTTTTAAAGCGTCGCCTATGGCCGATTTTGGGTAATGTAGTTTTTTGAGGTTTCACGCGCCTGCACAATTTTAAAGCTTGACATGTTTGGTGTCTTTTTACCCAACGTGACCGCGTCTTTTATATTTTACCAAAAAATTGGGTAATAATAAATGTTTTAGAATTTAATATTAGGGGAAACAGTTTTTTTTTTTTTTAAATCTGTAATTTTTCCTTCATATATTAAAAAATATAAACCCCAGTGGTGATTAAATACCACCAAAAGAAAGCTCTATCTGTCCCCAAAAAAGGGTATAAAATTAATTTCAGTACAGCGTTGCATAACGGAATAAATGTCAGTCAAAGTACCGCAGCGCTGAATACTGAAAAATGGCCTGGATGGGAAGGGGGTTTAACACCCCAGACTTCAAGTGGTTAATAAAATCTGTTTAAAAAAAAAAAAAGTATACACAAGTTAAAAATTATTCCATGTCCTTTACCCATGCCCTCACAATGCCCTCTTTGATTTATGTTTTTATTTGAGGTATTTTTAGACTTTAAAAGTCCAAACAGAAAATAACAAACAAAAACAAAGAGAAAGTAATTAAAAGTGCAACTGTTCTAATTTCCACTCAAATAGCAATAAAATACACCCAAACATCTGTGAAAAAGTAAAAAGGACAAAAACTTTTCATTTCCAATTTGTAGCTTTTTTAAAATTGTATTAATGTATGCTGATCATGATAAATTAAAGTAATTTGCAATGCGATATAAAAATATTATCTTTTTATTTGAGGTATCCAAATAGGATGTTTCCAATTTCAGGAGACTGTGTTTGCTTATATGGAGCTATGCAGCTCCAGCAACAAATGGGTGAATACTCAAAAGCATTCACCTCCCTGCTTTACATACATAGGATAGACATACAATTTTTTTTATCTTTGCGTTGGTACAAAGATTATACTGGTCAGACAATTCTATTTTGCTGCAAGTGTTCATAGAAGAAACCACATTACATTTTAGATTGTAATATACAGAACCTTTCACCCACTTTTGTTAGATTATATTTTAAAAAATCCTGGCATTATAGTAATATTTAGAGAAGTGCCTCAGGACTGAAAAAGACTGGAGAATATATTGTGTCAAAATAGATAAAATTATATTTGTTAACATCTCTCACCACAAGTATTCATAAAGACTGTTATGACGCAAACTCACAGTTGAGGGAAGACTGTAAATATCTTTATATTTGACATGTACTTTACCTGTTGCCTCCTCTATGTTTGCCAGCTTCCACATAGTAAGCTTCTCTGTGTGATCTGGTTGGCTGGGGTAGCCCGGGGCTGGACGAATGCCTTTATATCGTATCTTGCGCAGATCATCAACACTCAGATCTTCAGAGCTGGAGTAGCCCCACAGCTCTTTTCTGACCTTCTCATGTAGTTCTTCTGCAAATGCCTTAATAAGCAAAAAGAATGTTTTCAACAATGCGACAAACAGGATCATACACTGCAGACCCATATGAGATTAACACAAACAGTTGCAACTCATAAAAAAACAAAAAAATACCATTAACCCCTTCCCGACAGATGATGGGATTATCCCATCACGATCGTTCAGTTTGTTAATGACTTGTGATGGCATAATCCCATAATTCAGTACAATGGTCTGTGAAGGGACTAGCGCTCATTGAGTTACTGCTGTTGATGGGTCCCTCAGGGTCTGAGGCAGATCATCAAAAACAGATTAGGTGGTCACAGTCCTGTGATCACAGCGAGAGCTGATTGCTGTGATCGCAGAGCTGGGAACAGCAACTCACTGTGTTTTGTAAACTGCTAGCCAGCTATGTGTTACAAAAGTGATACAATATATTTCTGAGGAGAATACTGTATTCCGCTCAGAGATACTAAGTATAAAAGCCTGTACATACAAAAATAACCCCTTAGTGTCCCCTAGTTTAAAATAAAAAAAGTAAAAAATATGTTTAATAAAAACATTATAAGAAAATATAGTGCCGAGGAGGCAATTAAAGAAAGGAGACAAACATACCACATTCTAAAATTGTTCCACACTAAAATTGTATTTTGTGACCTATAACTCCCAAAATAAACTGAAATCCCAGACATATGATATACCCTATAAATCAGGACAAATAAAAACATTCACTATGAATTACTTTCTGTTAGCTTATAATATGCCACAAGTTTATTTACAGGATCTCAGCTGCGGAGGTGTCACGTACCTGAGGTGAGACTGTAGTAGTGAGGAGGCCTTGCCTTGCACCTCGGGTCTTGAGGCCTCTGGGGATGGATACAGAGACCTGGCAGACACCGAGTGGCACGAGTGCCGGTGGTGCGGAGCACCGTGCAAGCCTAAATCCAAGATCCGAGCCGGGGTCAAGTCCAATCGGGCAACGAAGTACAAAAGGGATAAGCAGAATAATGGTCAAGATCCAAGCCGGGGTCGGTTCCAATCAGGCAGCAAAGTACAAAAGGGCAAAGCACAAGAATGGTTAGTATACGAATCAGAGGTCAAGGGCAGGCAGCAGGCAAAAGTAGTCACTATGGTTCCGGTCACAACAAGTCCAAACAGATAACACAACAGCACAGGAACAAGGAGAGACTGAAGATAACCCAGCAATTTGGCAGTGTCCAGGCTGGGCTTATATAGGGGAAGTGATGATTGAACTCTAGGTCACTTCCTGTGCGCCTCCTGGGTGCTTTCCCGCCTTGCTGAATCATGCCTTCTGCGCATGCGCGAGTTGGCACAATGACGCGCCCTTGGCGCATGCACAGTTGGCGCGGATTTGTTCCGGTTCATGAGACAACGCGCCGTTGGCACATGTGCAGTTAGCACTGGACTCTTACAGAGCCTCCCTCGTCCCCTCTTACGGCAGCCCAGGATGGCCTCCACTTAGTACTCCTCAATCCCTTTGACCATGGAGGGAGCCGGAGGACGATCCCCACGATCCCCAAAGGGGTTCGGGGCTACTGGCTTAAGGAGGGAGGCATGGAAGACCAGGTGGATCCGGTAGGTCGAGGGTTGAGCTTGAGTTCGTAGACAACAGGGTTGAATTGGCGTAAGACAGGGAAGGGACCTATGAACTTAGGGCCTAATTTTCTGGATGGGCAGGCCAACTTTAGATGCATTGTAGACAGCCAAACCTTGTCTCCCGGTTGGAGGTCCAGAACCCCCCTTCGCCTTCGATCATAGACGGTCTTGCAATCCAGCTGGGCCTTGGCCATGGTATCCTTTAGGAGTTCCAAGTTGTTGTGAAGAAACTCCACTCTGTTCCAGACAGCTGGGACTACAGCGGAAGCGTGTAGGACAGGGGCAAAGGAAGGGTGATACACCAGGTTGGCATACAGCAGGGATTGTTTTGTGGTAGAATGGACTGAGTTGTTATACGCAAATTCTGTGCAAGGAAGAAGGGACGCCCAATTGTCTTGGATAAAGGTGGAGAAACAACGGAGGTACTGTTCAAGTGTCTGGTAGGTGTGTTCCGTTTGGCCATTGGTTTGAGGGTGGTAGGCCGAAGAATAGTGGTTTTCAATGTCCAGAGCCTGACAGAGCTCCTTGAACTGGACCCCACGTTCCAATACGATATTGCTGGGGACCCCATGGAGGCGAACAATATCCTTGATAAACGCCTGAGCCGTTTCTGGGGCGGAAGGCGTGCCGATCATTGGAATAAAATGAGCCATCTTGGTAAGGCGGTCCACAACAACAAACCCTTCAGATGGCGGTAGTTCCACTATGAAGTCCATACTGATTTTTTCCCAGGGTCTGGAGGGAAGTGGAAGGGGGCGCAGCAGACCCCAGGACTTCTCTATTTTGGTGTGAATGTACACCAGGCAGGAATTGATATAGGCTTGGCAGTCCCCGCCTTGAGGGTAGGCCACCAGAAGGATCGCAGGAGCACATCAGAGGTTTTGGTCACCCCCAAAATGACCTGCTAGCTTGTTATCATGGCAGAGCTTGAGAACCAGAACTCGCATTTGAGAAGGTACAAATACAGCATGTCCATGGAAGAAAAGTCTGTCCTTCTCTTGTGCTGGTTTTCCTGGGGGCAGCTAGTCAGAAGAAGAGGCCAGCTTGATCCTGGACAGAATGTCATCTGTGACTAGGAGGATGTTATAAGTTGTAAGTATCGTGCCCGTCGTTGGTGTGTTTTCCGATATGGGATACATTCGGGAGAGGGCATCAGGTTTACAATTATTTGATCCTGGACGGTATGTGATATGCATGTTAAACCTGGTGAAGAAGAGGGCCCATCTGGTTTGCCTAGGCCTCAGACATTTAGCCGTACGGAGATACTCCAAATTTCTATGATCTGTTAAGACAAGGATGGGGTGTGATGCTCCTTCCAACAGACTAATTAGGGGTATGGAGGACCAGAGCTACGAGACAAGGCTAATAAATTTAAACATGTTCACATTGGAGGTGAGGAGATTAAGGGGGGATATGATCTCCATGTACAAAATGTTCAATGGCGGTAGCAACATTAGCGATAGACTGTTTAAAATTAACTCCATTACAAAAACTAGAGGCCACCACCTAAAATTGGTGGAAAAAAATTCCAGCACAAGGGGAGAAGGGGGTTCTTCACAGTAAGATCAGTTAGGGTCTGGAACTCACTGCCACAGGCGGTGATTTCAGCAAATAATGTGGAATTGTTCAAGAAACTTTTGGACGATTTCTTAAGGGACCGTAATATACAGGGGTACAGGTACTCCTAGAATGAGATCCTAATAGGTTGGACTTGATGGTCTTTATTCAACCTCAAATACTATGTAACTATGTAACAGATAGCGCCATTCTTCTAGAGCCAGTTTTATGGCGAGGAGTTCCCGGTCCCCTACATCATAGTTCCTTTCTGCCGGAGACAGTTTCCTGGAAAATAAGGCAACAGGGTGCAGCAAAGCGGTGGCTTCCTGGCGCTGAGAAAGGACTGCCCCCACCGCAATCTCAGAAGCATCGACCTCCAGCACATAAGGTAGGGCCGGGTCAGGGTGACGAAGGACCGGGGCAGAGGTGAAGAAATGTTTGAGTTTATCAAAAGCCGTGTCTGCGACTGAGAGGAGTGCTTCCACCTTAGAGTCCTTGTGCCAACATCTCATGAACGATATCTTTAGGGACTTTCTTGACCTCTTTATGATCGTTTACCTAGACGACATTCTCGTCTTCTCTTCACTAGAGGCCCATCACATCCACATGTGTAAAGTCCTTTTTCGCCTACGAGCACATAAGCTCTATGCCAAGCCTGAAAAATACGTGTTTGAGAAGGACACCATCCAGTTCCTTGGCCTCATTATCTCTACTTCTGGCATCTCTATGGACCCACAGAAGGTGACTGGTTCTGAAATGGCCGGTTCCCTCGGACCGTAAAGGCGTCCAGAGGTTCGTGGAATTCGCCACTTTCTATCAAAGCTTTATCAAGGGCTTCTCTTCGATTATTTCACCCATCAACGGATCGTGACAATATAACATTGCAGGAGGACCTGGATAAAATAGGGGAGTGGGCAATACTATGGCAGATGAGGTTTAATGTCGATAAATGCAAAGTAATGTACTTTGGACATAAAAATAAACAAATAGGCTATACAATCATGGGTATGCCGCTAGGGAAGTCAGAAATAGAAAAAGATTTGGGGGTCATTGTAGACCACAAACTGAATGGTAGCTTGCAGTGCCAAGCTGCGGTAAACAAAGCTAGCAGGGTCTTGTCCTGTATTAAGAAGGGGATGTATTGCAGGGACAAGTCTATAATTGTGCCTCTATATAGATCGTTGGTTCGGCCACATCTGGAGTACGCGGTCCAGTTTTGGTCGCCGGTACTGAGAAGGGATGTCTTTGAACTGGAGAGAGTCCAGCGGAGGGCAACAAAACTAATTAGGGGAATGGTGGACCAGAGCTATGAGACAAGGCTTCTGACCTTAAACATGTTTACGCTGGAATTAAGGAGATTAAGGGGGGAATATGATTTTCATGTACAAGATGTTCAATGGTGACAGCAACATTGGCAACAAACTGTTTGAGATTAACTCCATTACAAAGACTAGAGGCCACCACCTAAAGTTGGTGGAGAAAAAATTCCAGCACAATGGGCGAAGAGGGTTCTTTACAGTAAGAGCGGTTAAGGTCTGGAACTCACTGCCATCGGCAGTGATTTCAGCCAAGAGTGTAGATTTGTTGAAGAAACGTTTGGACAATTTCTTGAGGGACCGTAATATCCAGGGATACCAGTATCCCTAAGAATGAGATGATGCGTGGACCGATATGGGTTGGACTTGATGGACGTATGTCTTTATTCAACCCCAAATACTATGTAACTATGTAACCTGAGGTGAGACTGTAGTAGTGAGGAGGCCTCCCTTGCACCTCGGGTCTTGAGGCCACTGGGGATGGCTACAGAGACCTGGCGGACACAGAGTGGCACGAATGCCAGTGGTGCGGAGCACCGTGCAAGCCTAAATCCAAGATCCGAGCCGGGGTCAAGTCCAATCGGGCAACGAAGTACAAACGGCATAAGCAGAAGAATGGTCAAGATCCAAGCCGGGGTCGGTTCCAATCGGGCAGCAAAGTACAAAAGGGATAAGCAGAAGAATGGTCAGTATACGAATCCGAGGCCAAGGGCAGTCAGCAGGCAAGAGTAGTCACTATGGTTCCGGGTCACAACAAGTCCAAACAGATAACACAACAGCACAGGAACAAGGAGAGACTGAAGATAATCCAGCAATTTGGCAGTGTCCAGGCTGGGCTTATATAGGGGAAGCGATGATTGTAATTTCGGTCACTTCCTGTCCGCCTACTGGGCGCTTTCCCGCCTTGCTGAATCATGCCTTCTGCGCATGCGTGGGTTGGCGCAATGATGCGCCCTTGGCGCGGATTTGTTCCGGTTCGTGAGACAGCGCGCAGTTGGCGCATGTGCAGTTAGCACTGGACTCTTACAGGAGGTGAGTATGTTACTTGGGGATTGTGCAATGTCTGTCTCCAATAGTAAATGCCTTTTAGGAAACGGTTATTCAGTGTTCAATTCCTCAGGAGGCACTCTCCATGTAATTCATTTAATTTAACGATTGTAATGGATATACCATAAGCAAATAGGAGCAAGAGGACAATCCTTTAAATACAGGATGGTACTCGCAGTTTTGTGGGGGACCTTTCCCTGGAGCAGTAAAACTGATGACAGCAGCTTGGCAGTGAAACAGACAGCGAGGCAGAGTCAGAAGCTCCAGGCAGCAGAAGAAACTCCACTCAAGACAGTATCTTCAACAAGATGTCACAGGGTCCAACGCTGTGAGTAGAGGCAATGCCGCAGACTGTTATTGCTCTGCGTTCACAACAAAAGTAGGACACCAAGCATTTGAAAACCCCACGGTTTTATTCTGACAGCAGGAGGAGGAGCAGCACGATGCGTTGTAACGTGTGCGGCTACGGACTCCGGCACTGGAGTGCCCTGAGGTACACTAATTATGTACACATTATTTTTGGCAAAGCTGTGCAAATGTTGTTTTTCTTTCAATTTTTGTTGTATTTTCTTTTAAAAAATAAGAATTTATACATGCATATGTCACATCAAATTGAAGCCCATTTTGTCCTGTAAAAAATGGTATATAATATGTGTAGGTGCAAAGCATGAGGAAGATGGAAATTATGGTTAAACAAACACATAGCAAAAATGGCAAAATTGGTCCGGTCCCTAGAAGTGAAAATGTTTTCTGAAGCTGTCACTAAGGGGTTAAATGGCCTACAAAAAAAGCCAAACCCCATACAAATAAAACACATAATTTCATGTATTTTTTATTGAAAAAGAAAAGTATTTAATACATCGGGTATAAATACTTATATTTTTATTTATGTTTATGCTTCCTATTATCCCCTGTGCAGCAGCATGAAGACAAGGAAAGCTAGCATTGTTAGTCAGTCAGCCAGTACTAGCACTTCAAACAGTCCCATGAGATTAATACAGTTAAAGGAGAATGATGAGGTGAATGAAAAACACTCATCCCCATAATTCTAGCCATCCTGTGACAACGAAGCTGTCACAGGTCAGCTCTATTGATCAGGAATTCAGCAAACAGATACCGCCGATCACTGACTTCCCAATCCTCTCCCTGTAGAGAGCGGTGACTGTCAGTCAGCTCCCCGCAGGGATTCCCCCCTCCCCTCAACGTTTCACAAGTGCTGACTGGAGAAACGGGCGGGGGAGGGGACGGGCACACCTGGCTCTGCCGTCTCAGCAGTGGTGCGGCTCAGCGATAGATAGCCCACTATATACTGAGTTTTGGGTCACTGGAGGACATTAGTATATGTCCTCCTGTGACCCTGAAGAGAACTATGGTCGATCGTTCTCTTTTGACATGTTACAATTACAATATAGGAGAGCACATATTGCCTCATCACTTTGCAGCTGTTGCTCCTTAGCGGGCTGTAGCAGGGAGGTTACACACATATACACAAAATGGCTAAATAGAACACATATTTTGGCAAGTAAAACAGTTCATAAATTATATATATATATACACACATGCACACACTGTATATATGTGTGTGTGTGTTACTTTACAGTGCATCTCTTTTTGACTTACCTCGGCTAGTCTATCCCCTAGGGCTTTGACCATGATACTGTTGTAGTCATCCCCCTTGAGCTCATAAGCTTTGCTCAGGTCCTCCACACCAAAAATGGCTACAGCAAAAATACCCATGTAGTCATGTATCCCAGAATCCTTTTGGGCAATGAAGTCAGACAGACAGTAGTAGGGGTCTGTAGATGCAGAATCTTTCTCTGCCTAAAACACAGATAACAAAATAATACATCAATTCTCTTTTCATATTCATCAGTTTGGTATCTGCATATATCTGCAGAATGCTGCCGAAAAACAGTGAATCAAAACCAAATGTATGTGAACCCCCTTGGAATGAACTAGTTTTCTGCAGTAGTTTGCCATATTGTGATTTGATCCTCATCTTAGTCACAACAATAGAAAAATACTGTATAATGGGGGGGATTTATCATAGTAATTGCGAGTGTTTGAACTCGCATATGGTTGAATGGCATATATTTGCGCCAGATTTATGTTGCTAGTGTAATGTATATAAATGAGATTAAATAGACATCAGGAAAGAAGACTCGTAACTCCATGCAAAAAGCTTAACTGTCGCTTCTTGAAGTGGTCATAGGGACTTCAAAACCCCTTCACGACCTATGACGGGATAATCCCGTCACGAAGTCGGAAGGGTTACACAGACTCCCGGCGGCTGTTTGCCGCCAGGAGTCTGTTCGCCACCAGGAGTCTGTTCGCCACCAGGAGTCTGTTCGGTTTTGTTGAGCCGGCGACCGGTTTTACAGTAGAAGTGATTCTGGCGGCTCAGCTGTCGCCAGATCGCTTCTACAATCCGGTAACCGGGCCACCCCCTGCCCGACACCCCCGCCTTGTTTCCCGGGCTCCGTTGCCTGGGACCGG